TTTGATTTTTTCTTTTAATTGATTTAAATTATTTTTTTCATATTCATTTATATCTTTTTGCATCTTTTTTATTTTATTTATTAAAAGATCAAAATTATTTTTAGAAAAATATATATTGTTATCATTATATTTAATATTTATATCAGACCAATAATTAAAACTTAATTTATTATTGTTGTTTAAATTTAAAAAATAAGATAATTCACATTCTGTATAATCATCATCATTTCTAATATTTATTTCATTAAATTCCTCTGATTTTCTTTTTTTATTCTTATTTCTATCTGCTTCTACAATAGTTAAATAATGTGAAAAGCATAACTGATCATTAATTTGAAGATAACTATAATTTTGATATGTATTAGTTTTTATAGCTTTTGCTTTACTAAATTGAGTAAATTTTTTAAATTTATATTTTTTTGGATCATTCTTATCACAATCTTTAACTTTACAGGGACCATTATTAATATTCATTTTACTAATATTTATTATAATAATATAAATTATTTGATATATATTTTATTTTAATTAAAAGAATTTTTAAAAAAATTAAAAATATTGAAAAAAAAAGCCGAAAATTTTAATTTTAAATAATTTTTTTTAATGGCTGAAACAGTATTACAACCAAAAAATTAGCCTATTTTTTTTGGTAAATTTTATGACGATCAATTTGTACCAATCAAAATTAAACTAAATGTGATATTTCAAAAATGATTATCACAAATTTCAACCAATAAAATCGCTCGAAAGTTAAATGTCCATTATTTATTGTAAGTTTGATTTTTAACTTTTAAAATAAATTGATATATTTTTGTATTTACATTTATAACCTAAAATTAGTTATTTTCATATTAATAATACAAATAATAAATTTGGTTTCATTAAATTCTAATTTTTAGGTTTATATATATATAATATTTGATTCTTTTTTTACTAAGATTTTTAGTATATCATATATGAATTATATTGAAGTATTAAAATAAATCATCAATAATAAAAAATGGTTTTTGAAAATTCATAAAGATTAAAAGTTTTATCTATTTATTAATCTTTCTTATAAATATTTAAATTTACCTTACTAATTCAAACGAAATTTATATTGATTTAAACAAGTTTACATGTTAAAATTTTTTATATAAGACTTGATGAAAAAATTAAGGTAAATGTATGATAATTATTGAAATGCTACAAAAATTTTTATCACGCCTATTATTATTATTATTATTATTATTAATTTTTAGGCGAATATAATGAAATCAGCAGACGAAAATAGAATTTTTCAAGATTTACTTAATGCTTGTCGTAATGGTGATTTAGAACTAGTTGAAAGGTTAGCATTTTTGATTCCTCATTCGAGTTATTGTTATACCGTTTACGCGTTAGAAAAAAGAACCAATACGACTTTGAATTGGATTAGCTTGGTTCGAAATTTTGGGGCACCAATTAATCAAACCGATACATGGCAATGTTCCCCTTTATACCTTGCCTGTCTATGGTAAGGATATTTATAAATAGTGAATTGATAGATAATATTTAATCTTTTATTTATTCTTTTCATTATTTTTAAATAATTAAAAGTGGACATTACAGAGGTAAGTCATAATTTTAATATGGACCTTTTTTTTTTGTGAATTTAACTGACATTATTTAAAATATTAAGTTGTAGAGTTCTTACTTGAGAATGGAGCTAGGTGTGGACAAGATACCTTTGAAGGGCAACGGTAAATAGATTGTTAAGATAACTTAAGATTTGATTTTTCCATGATTCCGATTTGCCGACATTTATTTATTTAGCTGTTACTATGGAGCATTGACAATTAAAATACGGAGTCTCTTGTCAAGTTACAAGTACACTAAAGCAGATGACAAATATCAACCATTTCGCAAATTCTTTTCCCACATATTAGAACGTCCTCTTGACACCTTTAGCGACGTTATTTTTAAATTAAATGCTCCATACGGCTGGTTGAGAGGTTATAATACTTTGGAAAAGTTAGAAATTTCAGCTCATAGAAGTATACTATATGCTCGATCAACATTCTTTGCAAGCAAATTTCAGACGATTTGGCGTACATCTAAAGTGATTGAAATTCAAGAGATACAAATTCATCCAACATGTTTTCGTACAATGTTGAGATATCTTTATACCGGAGAAATAACATCGATCCCAAATTCCTTAATGGATAACATGATACAATTGTGTCAATATGTCTGTCTAAATAATTTAGCTGAACGATATAAGAATAAAAGAATCAATCAGGATCTGGATAAGGTAGAATTTAAAAAACTTCAAAACGACCTTGTTAAATTTTTTAAAAATGTGCTACTTGAAGACAAACAGTATTACGTTGAGACAGATTATAATAATAAGATGGAATTCACGGAATCTCAACATGATATTTGTATTAGAGTGGAAGATGAATACTTTAATTGTCACAAGGTTTTCCTCACTGAGCGTTGCGAATATTTTAAAGCCATGTTTACTGGACCTTTTTCTGAAAAATTATTACGATCACCTCGAGTTTCAGATTGTAGTTCCGAAGTATTTGCTTTAATTCTTGAATTCATATATACAGACAAGTGTGATATACCGGAATCCCTGGCATGTGAAGTATTAATAAAGGCTGATATGTACTTACTGGATAAGCTCAAATCAATCGCGTCTATCGTATTAACTAAACTATCCGAACCACTTGAAGATATTTACGTACTTATGCGTACAGCTATTGATTTAAATATTGTTAGATTAGAACAATGGTGTTGTCGTTGGTTTGCTGAACATCTGCATGAAGTTATAGAAGATCAAAGATTTCTAGATTTCATTTGTGAATCCGCTCATTCTATTAAAAAAAGACAAGAGACTGATACTATTCCTTTCATCGATGATTTAAGATATTGGTTATCTAAAAAGTATAGTGTGCTTGAGGATGATATTGATAAAAGAAGTGGTAAAGTACGGGAATATGATGGTGAAGAAATAACTGATTGGGAAGCTGAATATAATTTAGTCTTGGAAAAAATTGAACAAGTTTTATTAAGTTTAGATTTAAATGCTTGATTATTATTAATAAATATTAAAATGCTTGCGATATTGTTATTAAATTGGTGATTTTGATAAAAGAAACAAAAAAAAATATTATAACTCAACTAATTATGTAATTTATGTTTTTACAAAAAAAAGAAAAAATTTGAATTCTTCTTTTTTATCACCAACCAATAAAAATGTCAAGGAATACGACTTTTAAACAACGTGTATCGATCAATATTATCTAATGTTATCTCAGGTTTTTGTAAATTGTCATTTGAATTATTAAGAATTCGACTTTTTGCTTCTCTTTCTTCCTTTTCCGCTACAACATGTTCTTCGAGTTTTTTAGTTTGAGCTTTCTCTTCATCTTCACGCATTTCCATACTAGCATACCTCCTATGAGCAAATCCAAGAAGATTTATTCCGACCAATAATTTTAATAATATCAACATAATGTATAATAAAGTTCCACATAATATCCATACTATAGGAGGTTGTGTAGCCACATTAGAAATTGGCATATTATTTGGATTATCTTCCATCTCATGTACCCAATCGTAAATCATTGTAACGGTTTGTAAAGTTACACTTATAGTAAAACAAGTCAAAGGTAAAGCGGCGAATCCAATCCGACGGGAGACTATCGGTGATTGATCAACGAACTTTTGTGATTTAACATGATTATTCATTTCATTATGATTTGGATTTCTCGTTGGATTTCCAATTACGAGATCCCTTGATAACATATCAATATATCGATCATAGACACTTGTTCGAATATGATTAAACTTTGTTATAAATGCATGTTTTAACCAATCAACCAACAATTCAGACAATAACACGAATAATACTGGAGTCATTAATGTCTCAACAGTTGTCATTGCTGGGAATAAAGGAATGAATGATGCGGGTAATATGGAAAATGGTGATGGTGGGGAACCTGATAATTCAATCAAGTTTCGAGCGGTGATAACTGATAAAAATATGACGAGTTGAAATCGTTCAACTATATCAGCACAACTTAATTGAAATAAATTTTCCTTTTCAAACCTTTTAAATACCGAACCTTTAATTTCAATGAATTGATTTGATAATAATAAAGTCAATAAAGCATTTGAATAAGAATTGATCGCCACGTTAAGGGTAATAGCTTGATAAAACAAGATTATCGAATGAACAAGGATATAAAGAAATGCCAGAATGAAGAAATTAATTGGTCTCCAATTTGGATGAATCTTAGAATCCTCCTTTTTCTTCCCAAGTGTCGATCTTGAAAACAAGGAATCAAGAATATCTCCACCAAAAGAACAACAAAGTCGATCTAAAATTTCAAGGACGTTAAAGATAACGTATAATTTAATAGCAGATTGTCCACGGATAATATGATATATTTGTGACGCTTCCACATTTTGAAGCGTTAAACAAACTAAAATTATGAGTAGACCTTTGAGTAAATCACACTTTTGTGATAAATTTAATATTTCATCGTGCTTTCGTTCATGATATCTATCATTATTAAAAAATGATATAATGTTCATGATCAATGAATAAAAAGCGAATATTACACGTAAAGGAAGGATAGTAACGGTGTATAAAAAAGAATCTAAACAAATGAAGAATCCAAAAGTCATGAGTTTTTCAATCGACCACGGAATACCAAGAAAATTGGTCACCCTTTCCCTTTTAAGTTCTTGTAAAGTATCAAAGTCGGAAGCCGTTAATTCATCTTTGAGGTAATCCCATAAAGTGAAGAGTGGAACCATTGGTGTTATTGTATTTTGCACTTCGGTTTGTGTATTATTAATTTCTTTCTCTTGTTTAATGGGTTCATTATGTTCCCGTTGCGACTTTGTGGACGTCAAGTTAGCAACTGGCATTTCTTTTTTTTTATACAAAATAAATAAAACTTTTTTAAAAAAAAAAAATTGAAAACGCGCGGGTTTTTTTTTTTTTGACTGGGAAAAACCAAAAATTAAATTTATGAAAATGATTGCAGCGAATGATTGGATGATCACCGCATAATTTTTGAATATTATAAATATATGAAATGCGGATGAAATGACATTGTCCAAAAAAATTTTTTCTTTCCTTTTATTTTTTTTCATTCCCTTCTTTTCCTAAAAAAATTTAATTAAAAAAAAAAAAATTATGGGATCAGCTCTTACTTGTTTAAAACCATCACAATCACCACCGATACCATCGGTCGTCTTTGAACGATATTTTTCTTTTAATAAAACCACAATCGCAAATTTACCACCAGAATGTTTACGAGAAATTTTTGAATATCTTGAAACGAAAGGGTCACTTTATTCATGTCTCTTGGTCAATAGAAGTTGGTGTAAAATCGCGGTCCCTATCTTATGGAAAAGTCCTTTCAAACTTTCAAATAGCTTATCAATTGAGTCAACGAAAATAATACAAGTTTACCTAAAATGCCTTAATAAAAAATCCAAACAATACCTTTGTCATAATGGGGTCATCTTACCAACTAACATAATAGAAGATATCTCTTCGCCAATATTTGATTATCCATCATTCTTAAGGGAATTAAAATTTTCGGATATTTATAATGGAATTTCTGATTGGTTTTCTAACGTCATTGGGAATCTTACAGACGAACAACAAACAACCTTCTTAAAAATTTTAATCACGGAACAATTATTTAAATTATTTATGAATCAATGTTCAACTTTTGATTTACTTTCATTATCAGATATACCATATGAGACAGCCATGCCTTTGTTACCACTTTTAACTGGACCGGTTAATTGTTTTTCTCGGTTAAAAAGTTTTCAATGCGTTAGTAAACACAATAATAAGAGTGAGATTTTCAGGGCTATTTCTCAAGTATCAGAATTTATTGAAACTTTAGAGGTTGGAGGTGTTGATCATGATATGGAAGTAAAAGCTTTAGGGGTTTTAATAAGAGCTCAAAAAAAATTAAAAACATTTAAATATACTTGGGATTATCAAACGAAATATCAAATCGTATTATCGGACACACTTTGCGCGCTTCAATCTCAAGCAAAATCCTTAACGATGATCCAATTCGAATATTGTAATTTTCATCATTGTAATACTATGAAAGCTTTGACAGCTTTTGAAAATTTAAAAAATCTACAATTCATTCATTGTATATATATAGGTGATAAAATGAATACCTTTATTAATGCGAAATTTTCAAATTTAAAATATCTTGGATTTTATAATAATTGTATAGAATCCCCTCGATATTGGGTTTGTCCCGATGACGTAGCCGCTTTAGTTAATAATTGTCATGATAATTTAGAACAAATCATTTTACCAAGGACGGGGAATTGTACCATATCTTCTCATAAATTAGTAAAATCACTTAGATTATGTAGAAATATTAAAGATTTAAAAGTTCAAATGGGTGAAGGTGATATAGATGAATTCCTGGAATTCTTACAAATTAATGAAAAATTGGAAAATCTAACCTTAATTTGTTATGGAGATTTAAATATCGAACATTTCCTCACGAAAACGAATCAATCGTGGCCAAGTACTTTATCATCATTAAATTTGAGAGGACAATGGATTATCTCTCCCGAATATTTAAAGATTTTATTAAAAGAATGTAAATCTATAAAACGATTGGATTTACATTCTTCTCATATAACTGATGATCATGTTGGAATTGTGATTGAATACGTTAAAGAAATGAGAGTTGCGAAAAAGGCAATTTTACATAGTTGTTTAATATCCGGTGAACGAATGTCTGAAAAAGGAAGGAAGAAGGCGAGAGAATTTGCGAATTTATCAGAACTTTACCTATAATTAAAAATTAATGGCATTATTATTTATATAATTTGAAAGCGAATATAGGTTTCTTTAGAGTTAAAAATGTAAAATATAATAAATAATAATAATAATAAAATACCGTATGAAATAATAAACAACATAGTCTTGACCCAATATATAAAAATATATATTGCGCTACTGAGATACCATCATTATTCTCATAGGTTACCCACCTTTTGAGAACTAAGTAATTCTTCACTAAAATTCCGATGAGTAACCAGTCTAACTGGCATTATTTCTAGTAAAAATATGCGATCATTATTACACGTGTTTAATAACATCCCTAATATTTCTTGCAGCATTAACATCCCTATTTCAAAGAATTAGACAATTCGATCTGGTAACTTTCAAAGCATATTACATTGTGGATATTTGAATCTATCTTTACATCGGGAGCAAATCTGTAAAAATAATAAATGATATTAAATAAATATTAAAAAAATTTTTTTTAAAAAATTATTAAATACTCACTTGTAAGGTTCAAAATCCAGAAAAAGATTAGTGCAGCAATGTTTCTTAAATTCTGCAAAAAGTTGTTTTATAGGATCTGATGCATGTTCTCATGAAGAAAAATAGAAGCTACTTGCTTCATAAGCAATAACAACTGAATTTATTATAAAGATTCTTTTTATTTCTAATAATTTTTTGACATATTATAGATAATGTCTTTTGCTTTCTAACATAATTATCAAATTTAATCTGCTGAAATCTTTTAGCATCATAATAAGTATAAAGTACATTATAATTTTGGTGAATACATTGTAAATTTGTAAATGACCAATATAATGAGCTTTTGAGAATGTGTGAGAAGTAGGAAGATTGTTGAGAATGTTATGAATATTATGTGCCTAATATAAAATAACCAATATATTAGTATACTAAAAAACAACAAATAATAATATTATTAATTATAAAATACCATTTTTAACCACTTTTTTTTGTTTATGATGATTTTATATAAAGTTTGCTATATAATAATATTGTTTTATACCAATTTGTATAACTTTTCATTATCATCAACAGTTACTATAATCATCATCATTTCTTTTATCTCTTATTTTTTTGTTTAATGAAATACAAATACCAACTAAATCTATTTCAATATAACATTAAAACCTTTTATCATATTTTTGTATTTTAAATCCTAAATCCAATTGCTTTTTACTAAATCTCCAAATTGTATTTTTGAAATTCCTACAACTAGATTATTATTAGTATGCTTAATATATCATATAAATGATTTGTCTCAATAGGCATATAAGTTTTATAATTACGTTTTCAAATAGATGAAGATCTTTAACATTTGGATGATGTTCAATAATTTTATTTATACAATAATAAAAGATAAGTTGACCAAGTTTTTCTTCATTCATCTCTTCTGATAGATTCAGATTATTTTGTAATGCTAATTTCTGGTATTAAAGAATTGTTTAATAAAAATTTTGTATTATCATCAAAGTTTCATTAAAGTATTCTTTGTTTTTTTTTGCAAACAATCATAAAATAATTCAATTATAGAAAATAATCGTAATTTTTCTTTTACTTTATGTATTTGAAGTAAAAAATATTTAACAAATGTAATCAACATGATAAATTGGTTGAAACATGATTTCTACAGTTTACTAAATAAGATTTAATCGCAGATGAAAGAAAGTCACCCATAATAAATAAAAGAAGTTAAAATTAATTTTATAATATATTAATTAATTTAAATTTTATATTATTTCCAACGAAGTCCAATTCAAATATGATGATCTATATCTTACATATTCATCTCGAATTGAATTAATTATCGGTTCTGCAGTATTTTTCGTGAAAATCAATAATTGGAAGCAACTGATTATTTTCCAAATGATGTGATAAAAAAAGTTGAAAAAATTTTGCCTCTTTAAAAGTCATTTGGTTATAATGTTCAATCATTTCTTCTAATGCCGGAATAATTGATTTATTTAATATTAATGTATTAAATGCCATTTTAAATATATGAGGAACGAAACGTTCATCACATCATCATCATCATGGTAATGATCGTCGTGGTTTGTACAAAAGACTATGATCCACCTTGCCACATGATTTGCATTTACAATTACCTGCATTATCGTTATTTTTTTTTTGTATTTTATTGGTTTTGTATTTTCTTCTAAATTAGTCCGTTTAGATGGTTTATTAGTTGCCATATTACTATCTATATATTTACTTTAAATTTTTTATTTCATTACACTGAAATTTTATCGTGTTAATGATGATTAAAGGAAGAGGTATTGATTTTTGTAGTTACAGTAAAAACGAAAGAGAAACATTGTTTAAGACAAAACAATTATTTTTATTTTATATGTTACACCGTAGACTGTTTTGTGACAAGAATTCTGAAATCGGCGTTTAAATAAATTCTGTTATGTTACATGTTACAGTCAGAAATTAGTAGCGCAAAATGATAACAAGATAAATAAACAGTGTGTTCCTAAATTTATTCGTTTCTTTGATGATTGATGATTGTATTATTAAATTTTTGATAAAGAATTTTTGAGAAGTAATTTATTTTAAATAATTTGACATATATTAGTAACAAATATAGATAATTTATACAATAATCATCTTTCATCGCGAAAAGGTTTTGGCATTTTATTCCCCAACGATGAATTTTTTATAGCTATTAATATTATATTTTGCCCAGTCTAATAATTTCTTTTACTTCAAATTTAAAAATCAAATAAAAATACAAATGTTATATTATTGATTGATACATTGTAATCTAAGCAAATGCGTCTTCACGATCAGCTTCGACATCTTCCTCCATTGAACTAAAGTTAAGAAAATGTTGCGGCCTGGATAATATAATATGAAATATGTTAACGTAACGAAATCACATAAATAGTAAAAAAACGTGTATAAATGACCAATATACCTGTGTAATTCGTGATAAAATTCCTTCGGTACATCCAATTTGAGGGTATATTTCATAGATGCACTGTGACTAGGTCCCATAAATGAATAATTCCAAATATCATTTTCCGGAACCATAAAGAATCCCATGAATCGATCAGATAACAACATTTGTACTTTTTCAGCAAATGTTGGAAGATAACCTATGGAATTTGAATTACATTAGTATTAATTAAGATGATGACGGAATTATAAATTTAAGAAAAGTTAATACCAGGTGGATTAACAGAGGTGTCCTTATTATTACGAGCCCATTCGAAACCGGCAGGTGTCAATTTATATGCTGTCAAAGAGCAAGATCCAGGTGTGAATGAAACCGTCATCGAAATTGTTTTGTCTGCATCCCAATTCCTATTGTCTGCTACAATTCTTGCATGAAGAGATAGGATTGTCGGAGATAATTGTGCAGTCTCGAATGGTTGAGTAACAATAAGACCAAGAGGTTCAAGATCTTTAAGATATTCGTTATCCGGCAACGCATATGGTAAGTTTACTGATTGATGCGTACCATATTGTGGAACTATAACCAAACTCTTAATTTCTTTAACCTGAGCATTATCACGAGGTGATACTCCATAAAGGAATGCAGCAATTTGTGTTCGGAGGTCGGCAACTTGAATGAATCGTTTCAATACGTTCTTTGGTAATACATAAGTATATCCGGTATCCTTAATATCCTCAGCGTTGACATAAATATGATTGGTACGAAGATGTAAATTTGTCGAAGAGATAGCCCGAACACGCCATTCTGTCTTCGAAGAAAATGTTTGTGTCTCATAATTACTAGTAGTTGTAACAATCATCTCATCACCGTGTACATTTTGTGTCTTTGTAGTGACGGCTGTAAGTTGAGACTGCTCCTTGGTTTGTTTTTCGATCTCTGCAATTTGTTGCCGTTGTAAAGATGGTGCGGAAATTTCCATTCCAAGGATAATATCACGAATTTCCGATTGTGTAAGAGATGCTACATTAACATTATTCTTTTTTCCATAATCTGCCAAAATCAAATCTTTCAAAGCAACTTCAACTTTAATCCATTCTTCATCAGACAAAGTTGGCCAAATATGATGAGGTTCAGTAATGGTATTTTTATCTGGACGTAAAATCATCTTTGTTTTATCCGTATTTACATGTAAAGCACGTAAAATAAGAATAAGACGCGAGAATGCAGTGTATGATGAAATTGTCTTAAGCCAATCGTCAAACAAATTAAACAGAGTCTAATAATAGTAATCAAAATAATAAAGAACGAAATTAATATTATAGAAATGGGTATGATAATATATGACTGTATTCTAATCTTACCATTTGAGGCTCAGTAGCTTTGAGAATCAAATCACCAAACTTTTCTAATTTAAGACAAGCCTGGAATGGAAGTTGTAATTCACTTCCTTTGATAACAATATTGGGGAAATCAAGTAAATGCACTTCAAGAGGATCCAACATTCCCTTTCGTGTAACAATAATTTGTTTGGGTTGTTCTTCAATTGGTAATGACCTAATTAAAGCAGCTACTTCTTCTGCAGTTTTCCATTTGGCCAATTGACCCAAACGCTTCTGACCGGCCCAAACCGAGGTGTGAATAATCTTCAAGAACAATTGTCCAGTTCTAGGATTAAAAATAAAAATAGCTCCGTTGATTGGTTTCGTGGTCAAATTACCTTCAAAGGTCTTGTGAATTGTTACACGATATACATTGGTGTCATCAACGAACCAAATAATCTGATTGCTAAACAATTCAGAATAATTTTGTGATGATAAATAAGGTTCAGTTGGTTCTGAGGAATATAATTGTAACCCTTTACGGATACGTTCACGCAAGACGTATAACGCAGGATTTGCCTTCATAATTTTGGCCATTGCTGATTGTATTAATGGCTTCATTCCAGGAATCCAATGACCATACGCACTATGTAAATTATACGCAAGATCTATACCAATCATAATACCAAATGGTGATGGATATATACTCATATTATCTGTAGAATAATCCAAGAATTTTGCTCTGGTATATCTTTCAATCTATTGAAATAAATAAGATCTAGATATTTAATTTTTAACAAGCTTAAACAAGTTAGAGTAAAGAACAATACTTAACGTCATGAGAATCAAAATCACCAAATCTAAGCTGTACATCAACAAACCAACGCGAAGTTGTCGTACCGTCCATGGTGTCTTTATTATCATTCAATAATGATGGTTTGGATACATTCCACTTATATGCGGCGAAAAGCAATATATCTGCACACGAGGAATTCATCTTGTATGATTTTCTCGGATGGATGCTCTCCTTTTGAACTGTTTCAATCTGTAAACTTTCAAGCTCCGAATCGAATACCTATAGTAAAAATTATTATTTAATAAAATATAAGAAATATAAAATAAACGCAAGTAAAAAAAAATTTATAATACGAACTTGACAAAGATCTGAAAGTAAAAAAAAAAATAATAAAATACAAAAAAAAAAAGAAATTTAGTATCAATTTTTAAATAAAAATCGAAACAAAAAAATTCAAACTGCCAGATTATTTACCCATTACTATAGATTCGTGTATCTAATTTTTGTGCGAAAATAAAACGTTAGTTCGTAATTAAAATTAAAATTACAGATCAAACCACTAACTTAAAACACTAACTTTTTGCCATAAATGAGCCCTAATTTCCGATTATCAATTTTTAAAAGAATTAGTAAAAATTAATATATGAAAAATATTAGTTCAAGACAGAATAAAAGAATATATACCGGAATATTTGAATTAATGAAATTTTCAATGTGGGAATTTTTCCATGCATAAAGATACCCGTGAGATCAAGTTGTACTTGGAAACCAACGTAGACATTGGCACGGTTAATAGTTGGCGACCACCATAAGGTGAACCTTCTGTTGGGAATTTGATTAAGACCGGATCTTTGAGCATTTGTTAATTTCTTATATTTCATAGATTCCTCAAATCCAGATGCTACCAAGGTAATAAGTCATGTGAGAACGTGAGAAAATGAATAAATCCGAAAATACCAGTATTTTAAATGTAAATTTGTTTACCTTTCTCCCAGAAAAGACCTAAAATTAAATTCAAGTTAAAAATGTTAATATGCTAAACATTATTTAAATAATGATGTTCGAAATATAACTTGCCTTCCCATGTGGTAAAATAAGTTCCTTTAAAAAGAGTGTGCTCCAAAATGCCTTCGACACCTCCAAGTGCTTGGATGACATCAGTTCGATAATTGTTGAGAGACCAAAGTTTACCGTCATGACGCGAACTCGTCCAATGGAATGGATTATTCTTTAGTACTTGATATTGTTTAAAATCATTTCTGACCCGCCATCCTTTATCGTAAGCAAGGGTGTGTCGATCCTTTGAGAACAGAGTATTAATCCTAGGTAAACCTCTATCCCAAGAATCTTCAAGATCCTCAAGTGTTAATCTTCTATTTTGAGCATTAGCTTCTTGACGCTTGAGCGCATATTCCGCCCATACACGTTGAGAATCAATGAATTCGGACTCCCATGGTTGAAGGTATCGGAATAAATTAGGAATCAATTGATCTTCTTCCTGTTAATAAATTATATAAAAACAAGCATGATATGGAGCATTAAAATTTATTTTTAAAAAATAAAGATAGCAAAAAGAAAAATGAAATTATTCCTACATGTGACATCCCGGCACGAAAGTGTGTAATCTGTGTTTCTGTTTGTTTACTCCAGCGTAAATCAGATTGAGGAATAAGCTAAAATAAAAATCATAACATGAAACATTAAAGTTTTTGATAAGATATGAATTGCAAATACGAAGGCGATACGTACCACGTGACCCATCGACAACATACCAAGACCACCCTAAAAGTATAATCCGAAAGAAATTAATAAAAAATAAAATTACAATGAATTAAAAAAAATATAAAAAGATAAAATTTATAATTACCAATTCTTTGGGACAATAAAATACGTGCACAGGGAAACGACTAGGCATTTTACTGTTAAGACCGATCTTAATTCTGGTTTGAATCTTATTTTCTGCTTTCACAATAATATCCAACAGTTCACGAGTATGTACAACCGCTTCTCTATAATAAGACATCAAACCAATTAAGCAGGTGTTCCATTTGTTACTGATTTTACTGAATGTGGTACTTCCGCTAGCCATTAAAATTTGACGGACACGATTATGAAATTTTTGCATCGATTCTTCATCAACGCGAAGGAAAGCTTGTGCAGTTCTTTCTTTTGTTTGTTCATTAATCAAGTTCCATACACCATCTTTAAGTGTAAATTCTTCATTAAGATTTCGAATCTTTGGAAGTATTCTTACTTCAAAACCACACATTGAAAACAAAACGTTTGGATTATCTTTAGAATAAACACTACAAAAAGTGTCCTCCCATTCGATCGTAGTTAATGAACGAGGTAATCTATTTTTGATATCCCAAAATACTGCTCTTCCAGCATTAACATCACTCTTGAAAAGTCTCATCCTACAATCTCGTGGCCAACATTTCTTATTATTATATCCAACTATATTTTCTGAATTTGGATCAGGATGTTCTGTTAAATAACGTTGAATCAAGTCCCTAGCTTCTTCAGCATTAAATCGGAAAAATATGTGAACTTTATCAATATAACGACAGTATAATCTTATCGGATGTCTAGTTTCGGTTGCAACATCACGGAATTGAAGAAAGTCATTAGGCATCGAGGCTGGCCCTGCCATTTCAGATGCTCGTTGTAATCCAAGAACTAACAAGTCAAGAATGAGGCCATAATATTGGAATATGAAACTTGCAAATTGCAAACCACGAATTAGACCGTATGCATTAACATGATTCATGTCTTTGTAGTTTAGCACTACGTTATTCTTCGCTGTCATGTAATCTGCAAGATTGTGATCCAGGATTAATCGTAACAATCTGTTTAATAAAGTCAAATCTATCTTTTCATAGACTTTACTAAATTGAGTTTCTAACATGACATTAATTTGTCCTTCAGATGTATCCCATACATCTGTCAAATTGTTAATGCCTTGACAGAATCTAAGAAATTATAATTAATTAATTGCACGACAAAAGGTTTTAAAACAATAATTCAACTAAACAATATATTATATAATTTACTTATAAACAAGCAATGGAGGTGGTTCAGTATCAGAAGGTTTAATCCATGCGGGAAATAAATTTCTCTTTGTTCCCTCGTACCATAAGTATTGGTCGAGATACGCATCAGTAATTTTTTCAAGAGGTTCAACGTCAAATACTGGAATCAAGTGGCTATAAAGATCCATAAATTCGATTCCGACTTCTTTAAATGCACGCTGAGTCAACAATAAACGTTTAATTCGACTAAGGGCTTCGTGTGGATTGTCATAAGCTATAAAATGAAAAGTCATATTAGCATTATTATTAGAAATGGTTCTCTATCATTAATTAATTATGAAATATTTACCTTGTTCGATTAATCCCAATTCTTCGCGTTGACTTTGATTAAGTCTTCCTTTAACACTATAAGCCTCTTTCAATCTTTCGAGCGCCAAAATTAATAATTTGGTGTCATGTTTATATGAAAGTGGTGGGAAAGGAATGGGTGAAAATTTACGACTTTCTAACCAATGGACAGTGGACGTGTAAATCGCAACGGCCTCTTCAGCGGTAATATAAGGACCATCTTTAAGATAATTATGTTGACGCTCTTGTTCGGCTTTCAACCATAAACGCGTCAAACGTCCAAGATTTTTTTTGCAAACCTATAAGGATTAAATAAAAGTTTAAATATAATATATGGTAAATTTTATGTCAGTAATTATGAAAGATATTTACCGTTTTGTCAACGGTTGCACCTCTTCGAATTCTTTCCCGATTATAATGCGCTACGCTGGTCCACCAGTCAGCTAATTTCAAAAAGATTGTAACATAATATTTAGTAACTGTCAAACTAATACAACCAAACAAATATTACAAACATATTGTATATACCCTTGCTCTTAACATATCTAAGAATCATATTTTCGATCGGTTTAGGCATTCCCATAATATGCCAAGGAACGTTTGCTTTCCAACATCTCCAAGCCTCACTAAGATGCTGTAATATAGTCTTTGACTTATTAGCTTTGATGCCTTCCGGCATCATATCCAAGATATCATGCATAACAGCAGCACGAAGTTCAAGGTCATAATGAGATTCAACACGTTGTTTTGTTACAGTCTTGGCAATTCCCTTAGAATGACGACCTTCAAAATGACGTGCCAATAAATTTCCAAGCCATCGTTCTAATAAAGGAACGATTCCCCTCATGAAAAATAGCCAAACACGCCATCCTGGTGCCCAAAAACCACAACCCGGACCTTTCCCTACTGGTCCCGTGTTAAAACGATAATCTAAAATAATTTTAAGGTTAAAAATTATTTTTAAAGTAAGGTAATTTTAAAGACTTGCGAATACTTACAAATAAGATGTTTCAAGTCTTTACAATTATGTGACACCAAGAAATCTTTTAGTAAAATCCTTTCATTGTTTCCATCTACCCCAAAGCCATAGTAATTATCATCATTTAAGCGCTCAATGGAAAATTTAATGTATCCATTAGAATCACTAAATGTCATCAACCTTTGTTCTCCAGGTATTCGTTTATGATCAACAACAACTGGAATGTCATTGATTTTTGATCCACTAATAAAGGTTCGAACAGATTCTGCGATTCTTGTTTTATCATTATCATGAAGTTCTTCTACATCAGTTCTAATCGTTGCCTAGGGAAAAAAAGAGGAACAAACAAACCCATTTGTAAAGGATTATTATTACAACATCATCTTTTCCAACAAAAAAAAAAATTATTATTATATTATACCTTTAACCCCAATGAAAGTGCCACGTGACGTACAAGGCGCTCGATACGTGTATGAGATTTTAAATCTTGAGAAACTTCATAACAACAACGATTTTGTTTATGATATTTAATATAGCCGTTGGTATCAATAAGTCCTGCCAAAATATTAAGTCGAAAATGTTCTGATTGATTTGTAAAGCCACATATCAAGTTATCATCAAGTGCTTTATTGTTTTCAAATATTCCCAAACGCTTGAGAATATTTATAAAGATATTGGATTTATTTTGACCGGATTTAGAAATTAACTCAGCATCCGTGTCCTCCATTACAAGATTAAGTTGTAATTTTTCAGAAATCTCTTTTAATTTAATTATCATGTTACGAGAACTCTCTGGGTGAAGATATATTATTGGCCTTGATGTATTGTAGTTGCCGAGCCATGCACCAAAAAGCCAAGCAAGTTCGCCCTCATCAATGTAATTGCTGTAAACACCAGCTTCTTTATATGAATCTTCAATTATAGATTTAATATTTAAAATACTTAATTCAGGGAATTTTAGAATGGAACACCGGTACATTCTAATATAATCGGCAACATATGGATATTTTTTATGAAATCGCAGGTAATTCTCAACGGAAACTTCCCAAACAAAATTTCTAATGAATTCATTTTGTTTTTCTACAAAATTACTTGCACGAATTATAGCGTCCTTATGTTTATAGATTCTCTTATTTTTTGGTTGTTTCCAGTAAAAATTAAGTCCATCATATTCCAAAGGTTTGGTATATGGTGATTCGTAACTTAATTGTATTATCCATCGATTAAAGCCTGAGCAAAGCTGACCTTTATATCCAAGCATATTTAGTTCTTCTAAACGTTTAGAAGCCGCTTTCTTCGCTGCTTCATAACTATCATATACGTTAAGATTCCAAGAAAAGCTTTTAGAAGAAACTGTCGGAATTTTTAAACCAAGTTCTCTGTCATATGTATCGTATGACATATAAACAACAGTAATCGATTGTCCTTTTTCGTCTACTTCTATCGTAGGATGGAATTTGGACTTAAGCACGAGAATATGTTGTCCGTTACAAACGAACCCATCATCTTTTATTTTAGAGAAATTTATGCGATACATAATGCCATGACCTCGAGTACGTGAAATTACACGACGAGGTTCACCGTCATCACCCATTACTTGATCTCCAACAGCTATATCCTTTGCTTCTTTAAAAGTTCCGTTAGGCATCATAATTTTGGTGTCACCGCTGATAATTTCAAATTAAAAGAACAATAAATCAATTATGAAAACTGAAATACAAAAAAAGGAAAATTATACTTTTTTTTTCGATTTTCATTACCTAAAACACAATCTAATCTGCCTCATTAGACGGTATTTATATCTGTACATTCCAGTGAGTTGACCGACATGTGCAAATATGTATTGTAAACCATCAGCTAACTGAAATGCATCTACATTTCCCAAACGATATTGTACGTGTGAATCAACGACCAGCTTGGTTAACCGTAAAATTTCTCGACTAATATTTTAAAAAAAATTAGATTAGCAAATTTCTACTTTATTATGCGTCGGATATATCCATATTAAAAAAAAATTTTTTACCATAAATGGAAGGCATTTCCGAATCGAGACTTTTTACGTTCTTTGGTGGTAAGTGTTTTCACAGGTTTTAAGTTGAAATTGTAATCCAAATGCAAGTAATTGAGATTCTTACGATGGATCAAAAGGTTAAGCATATTATAGCCTTGACGACAAACTTGTAATCCTGCCTCGACCCAATCCAATTCAGTAGTTTGGAAGAATTTTGTAGATTTAAGTTGACGGAACAAGTATTTCTTGTTCAAGGATTTCGGAGAGCGATGTTTCAAAGCATTTAAAACATAACATTTTATGAGCTTTTGATAAGAGACGCGAACTTTAACAGGCTGTCCAGGAGGACAATGTTCAAGATACCAATTCTTTACTAAAGGTATATCTTCAGCTCGTCTCATACGACCGCTACGTTTATTAAAAGGATAAGGGGCCCACCATAATGCAATCCCGTCAGCTGTCGTATCTGTATATAATGGTCGATCTTCTAAAAATGGTACCACTCTGCTTGGAAGTGAAAATCCTGTATCTATCTCTTTTTCACCAAATATTTCGTTTTCTAGTAAATTTCGAAGTTCTTGTGCAGCAGCAACATTGCGCGATGAAATAGGATTTATGATAGGGTCAAAATAAAATGCAGGTAAATCAGGATCTTCGGCACGAATATAAACGACCGAAGGTTCGTGATACCATGATACTTGAACGGAGCGTGGCAAAGAATTATATAGGAAGGGGAAAGCTATTTTGTACTCTGTACGAATAGGTTGCCTGATAATAATCTTATTTATATCATTGAACTCATTCCAATCATCATCAGCCGCATCCATATCTCTATACAATGGCTCAAATTTTGGTCCAGCAGGAATTGCCAAATTTAATGCTTTAGCAGTGAAAAATGACTTTAAATCAAATAAGTAAAAATAATTTTGATCTGTCAAGTCTGACAACAATTGATGTGCTAAACGATATAAAGTTGACATTTTAGGCAAACTTAATTTCCACCGCCGGTATGTTGATCCATTCACAAACTTAGTGTCCATCAAGGGTTTATGATCATATAACCACTCATAAACTGGAGCATCTTCATCTTCTTCTAATTCCATTTGAATTGCTTCCAATGGTTCTACATCTAAAATATTATCACCATAATCCAATGGAGGTTCTTCGTCATCAAATGGAGGAAAACGCATACGCTTAAAATGTCGTCTATCGCGTTTTTCGCGACGCATCATAATCCACATAGTACCCCATTGCGCTATGTATACAGGTTCAATAACCCATGGAATTTCATTAACGAATGTGATTGCTCCAGTAATATGGTATAAAACGGGTACTTCACGAACCTATAAGTGGATAGAATTAATTAAGAAGAATCTAAATTAAATAGTAACTAAATGCTCAAAATCATCTTACTTGTTCCCAAGGCATTGGCATATTTTCTAGCAACTTTAATACTGCATGTGGTACATATTTTAAGGCACCTAAATAAATTCTTTTATCGTGTCTGTATTTCTTACTCGACATGTCTCCATGATCTTTAATAATCTTTCTGATATGCTCTGGTGGCATATCAGCTTTTTCATGTTCAATAAAACCAAACTTTCTTTTTTCTCCATAACGCTTTGATTGCATTTGTTGCCATTTTCTTGCTTTCTCTTCTAATTTCTCGACTGATGGTTCAGTCGGTTGTTGTATATTCATAAACTGATTAGAACCATTAAATTGTTGATTTGAAACATTATTGAATTGATAATATTGATAGGCAAACGGTTGTTGTTGTTGTTGTTGATCAGGGTAATTCGTTGGAGGGTAAGCCCCTTGGAAAGACGAATGATCAGACATGGAAAACTAAACTGAAGTGTTTGTTTTTTTTTTGATTTTTTTTCCAAGTTGTATTTATAATTATGAACGCCCAATCATTAATCGCTTACAGAAAATTTTTATCATTTATCACATGATCTCCAAAAAAATTTCCACCTGACTGGCATTACGGCATTAAGAAATTAACACATAAATTCAGAACATAAGATAATTGGCATTTTATACATAACAAAATACATATTAGAAATTTGATGTGCGATTGCATAATGAGCAGTTGTGACAGCTCACGCAGATTTCACAAATCCCGTGATGATCAAAATGAAATAATCTTACCTACGTCTGGGAAACTTGGAAATTTTTCACCACTAAAAAATTTTAGTTTCACATACCCTTAAATGTCACCGGTCACGTGGGGTGGAAATTTACCTATAAACTTCGGGGTAAATAATGTAAATAATGAAATAGACATCGAACCAAACATGAAGAAAATCAACTTCATTAATATGCAAAAGCTTGGGTTTAAGATAAGGGGTTAACAATTGTATAATGGAAATTATGCGAATAAATAAGTGAAAACATCCATTTAATGAAAATGGACCAGGTTACAATTGGTGGTGAAGATCCGATCTATCGAAATTGCGGAAACATTAAACCCTGAATTTTTCAAATCAATCAATAGATTGACAAAAGTACAAGTACCCTGGAAATTTCGAGAAAGCTCGGTCTGGCAATATTAGGTTTGAATTAGTCAAATTCCTTGATTTACATGTGATTAAAAACCCCCATTATTTGTAATTTTAAAGTTTCCGTTGATCTTATTTCGTGTGAAATCATATTTACCGAAGTTCCAAAATCTTTAAAATAGGTGAAGCAATAAATAAAAATTGGCGAAACCAATTAAATTTAACCAATATTACGCTATACCATAAAAAAAAATTAATCCGTAACGTAAATCTTGTTTTATTAGGATATCCATGACATTGATTTTCATCACGTGCAGTAGTATATTTCCTCTGCAAAAGATCCGAAATCATTAAAGTTCTCTTGCAGACTTAGCTAACAAAATTTTCTAAATGGTCTTTGATAGACAAATTTAGATAGCAATAGAAAAGGATTATGGGTTTGGGGTATTTTACTTCATAGATAGCGAAAAATTAATATTAGGGAAATAATGTGAAATAAACTCGCATTATATGGTTAGGTTCCGGGAAAGCATGTTATACATTTCTTTAGAATCCATCATTCCGTAAAGTTTGCATCGTATTTAACAAAAAGGCAGATACAAAGTATTCAACTTATTTCTCGAGGTGCAGTTGCAGTTTCTTTGAAATCTCTAACCTTCGCTAACTTAGACATGCTAATTTGAAACATAATGGATAAGCAAAATTTAACTTTCGAATGGAAAGCTATAAACTTTTGGTTTTAACTTACAGACTTAGAGCGCAATAAGTTTTACGGATGCCTTACAACACATCAATACAAAATTTTGAAGAACAAGTTGGAATTGAGATTTTATCTAGGTAGTCAAGTTATCAGTGATAATACAGATGTGGTAGATGTGGTGAATATGTTACCAAAAAAATTACGGCCTGCGAAACATTGATCCTGTGAAAGATTTTGGAGAAACGCAAATCGCTGTCGAGATACAGATGAGAATAAAAGTGAGGCTGGTAAAATCAAAATTGCCGATGTTACGTTTTACAAGGCTCAAAATATTAGAAAGAGCTTGATGTGGGTTTTGCCATAGAAGCAGTCAGTTGTGATTAATAGATGGCCAGGAGAAAATGATATGAAAAGTGGATTTGGCGAAACCGGATGGAAGACGAGAAGTGCTGACAGCATTAACCAAGATTCATCGAAACTATTACGGCGGGTCTTCTTATGTGATCGCTATATGGTAATAATAGGTTACTTCTGAAATAATTGTAATTTCTTCTTGTAATGATTTCCATTATGATGTCATGTGTTAGCTTTATGTTATACAAACTTTTATGTGGTCAAGTTTTATCAGATTTTACCATTTTTCTGATTGGTTGTATAATTGATATTAGTTAGGGTTAGTTAGGGTTAAAGGTGATTTATCACTGGTGTAATACCAGTAGTGTTTCAATTTTATTAAGTACTAAGGAACAGAATTTTTTTGGGTTGTGATATTTATTTGACATCCTTCATTAGGACATGACAATTAACATATTTTATAATACTAGCCAATTGGAGTGGTAAGTGAAATTAGTGAACTTTCCTAACTATTTTATTTTATGTAACTGTTCTGCATATCCTCAATTATTATTTCATTTTATTTTCTAAGCCTTTCTTTAAAACCTTTCATTTGGTTAATTAATTATCTGATTTTTTAACTTTGTTCAATTCTTTAATTATCCAAATTATTTTTTTTCAAAATTTATATGTTTATGTAATCTTTCTTTTCTGTCTGTAGTTTATTCTTCTTTCTTTTAATAAAATGATTATTCTTTCTTTTATCTTGTTTTTGTTGTACTTTTGTTGATTATTGTTATATATATTATTACATTATAAATTATGAAATTGTTAACTTTATAATAATATATAGAATAGGATAAAGTTTAAATCCTGAACTTTAGGACTAAGTTTTAAAACTCAGTCTTAATAGGATCAAATCCTATTTTTGGAATTTAATTAGGACAGTTCTAAATCAGTTTTATATTAGGTTATTTTGTAAATATAACTTTATATTATACAACCTGTATGTGATCAAATAATCTTTTTTGATATAAAATATTTTAAATATTCTAAAGAATAAAAATATCAGTGAATGTTAATAATGTTATAATATCAGAAATAAGTACAGTGGCTTCCAAAAGAAACGCAAGTGGCATTGCTTGCCTTTAATTGCCTGTAACTCACTGTGCACGAATGCTAGAAACATGATTTTGTATTTAATTTGAACCTCAAAACCTAAACGATCTTCAGTAAAAATTTGAAGTACGATTATTAAGACCAATTTTGCGCAATTTAACGATCTACATCAAAATTTCTAACTTAATAAAATTTGAGTGTAGAAA